AAAGTGCACGCACAATTCGCAATTTCATGACGCGAGGACGAAACTTGGAACGTTTTTGGGGGGATATTTTTACAAGGGTGTTGTTTCGCGCTGGGTTTTGCGTTAAACTTGTGAATCTATATGTATGTATATGAAGTTGTTGGCATTGATCTGTTTATCTGGAATAATTTACAGAAACTGCAGTCCAAACGGTAGAGAAATGTAGGGAGTGTAAAAGATTGGCTCGGCGTTTAGACGTTTGTCATTTTCATTATTATTTTAAAACTATTATTTTTGAATCCTGCGAGGCTGAAATATGCGCTGCAAGTGGTACACACGATAAAAGAGTGAAATTTACATAAACACGGAGTCTGAAAATACTTTCTTTCCGCGCTGTAACACAGTGTTGAGACTACATTAACCGCTATGAAAATCGAATACGGCAAACGTAATAATAACACGGAAATGCTTGTTTAAATGTTTTTCTAGATTATCTAAACGGTTTTTATTCTTAATTTTATTTAAAGTGCTATCCTGTATACACGTTGCTCAGGTGGATACGCGGACATGGATCCTTTAAATAGATGCAAATTTTGTTCTCGCGATTAATTGGGCAGACATGTTTTTCTAATTAAAGCAATTTATACCGTGGGCATTTCAGGGATTTTATGCTAAACGTCTTCTCGAATTATTTTACGCTTTTTATTCTTGAAGGGCAAAAGAAATGAAATAAGAAGCGACACGAGTAGAACAACGTCGAACAAAATGTGCTTCGAACTCTTAGAGGTTTCCAAGTTGATTCACACCGGATTCACGCTGATGAGAGTGTCGGCCGTTAGCATTAGATATTACGGAATAAATCTTCGCGTTTGGAAGAAACAAAGGGTGGTCTCTTTGCGAAATTTTCCTCCTCGTTTTCCGCGCGTTATCTTTTTCCGAGGCTTCGGTTGTTTATATTAGTGGTGTAAGACGCGTCGATGAGAATTCGCGCGCGGATGTTAAAAGAATTCGGACATATTTTTCTTTGAAGAATAAAATTTATCTTTACAAGATAGAGGTACACGTAGTAGCATGTATACGGCACTGTCAGGCCCTTTGGAAAAACCAATAACCTCAGCGTGCGTTGGATACTAGTAGTTTATGGCCACTGAGTGCGCGTGTGCAAGAGAAAGAGAAGCACGGAGTGAAAGGGTGGTGGATCGGGGGGGTGTAACTGAAAATGCGAATGAAAGAGATGGGAGAGGGGAAAAAAAGGGAGAGGTGCCACCGTTTTGAATGGAAATATTGCTAACATTTGTGTTTATTTTTCGTGCATGTACCTATTGTAACGACTACCAGATGATCGAAATCATATCATACTGGATAGATTGACGACCGTAGACAAATGCAATAAGCCTCGCTTTTGTTTCACTGAACGCATAGAATTATTTCATTGATAAAAATTAACGAATTTTGTTTATTGTTTGCGGAGGATATATATATTTTATTGTACGAATTATTGGGAGGCGAGGAATAACGGGAAACCCCGCGGTATCTTTGTTATGTAATGAGCTTAGTGCATCTTATATTTAATTGCACAATAATAATTGTAACAATAAATTGTAATATTACGGGCGACTATTACAAATTAATTCTGCACGTAAAAGCAATTAACGTCGCACGTGTTTTAAGTATTTAGCTAATAGTCGTTTTCAAATTAAAAAATCATTAGGATTCTCTTATGCAAATAGACTTTGCTGGAAAAAACAAATTAATTCGCGATATAAAAATTTTTTAAAAAATTTCAGAGACTGAATTTTCATGTCTATTAAACATCTAATTGAATTGCAAGACGAATTAATTCGCAATGTAAAAATTAAAAAAAATTTTCAGAGCACTTTTAGACATCCAATTGAATTAGATCGTTATTTAATATCGAAAAATGGGGGTTTCCGTGCGAGGATTGTGAATAAATATAAAAGTAACGAAATCTTTTTTCAACATAATCTCGTCGGACTTGTACTTTAATCGAATAATTTTCGAAGAACCGAGAGTCCCGCACATTCTACACCCCATATCCGCGTTGTCGTTTATTCCCGCGGTATAATGTATGCGCGTAATGCATTTTCCGTTTATTCAGTATCCAGTCGAAATTTTCCAAACCTTCTATCCTGCTCTCTTCCCCCCCTCGGCCGTCACGCTCTTTCCACATTGCATGGGCATGCAGTTGGCCGCATTCGTTCGTGCACGTATATCGACTGAAACGACCGTGCGACGTCTGTTTCCGCATTTTAATACTTCGCGCGGATCAATTTGGTTAAAATGGTGCCCGCCGCCCGCGCGCGAGCTGCTCGCCGCGCAACGCTTTTTACATTTTTATTCGTACTGTTAAAAGCCTATTTACATGTTATATTGCCAAATATTTTGTCAACGGCTTTTAGGATGGATTACGTTAGTTCAACTTAATTATTTTGTAAAATATGTCAACAATTTATTGCCCGTTCCAAGTTTTACATGATACAATTTTAATATTCTTTTTCAGATTCTTTCAAATAAAATTTATATCCTCGGAATTTTGAGAACGTAAAGTGTTCGACTTCTCGAAGCTTTACAGTTCATTCATTTTTAAGACTCGTGTTTATGCACAGATCTGTACTTAAAATTTTAGAAAATAACAGTCATCAAATGGTTTAATTATATATAACGCAAGACAGAAAAAATATATAAAATTAATAAAAATAATTGTTATTGTTAATTCTGTCATGATATCAAACTAATACGAACTGATTAATTCTTAACTTATTTTGCGAGCTCAACTCGAAACTGCAATATTTCGGAAATATTTAATTCAGGAAACAGTTTGAATCAAATCGATATATCGTTAATTTCTTATTTTCGGTCACTTTTATGCGATTACAATAATCTAGTATCGACGTATCCGTAACCATTTAATATTTTATGACGACATTTCGCGCTTAGGTAATTTATGTAGTACATATCTGTATTTAGATTGAAGCTGTAAAAGGTGATACATTTTGTATCACTGCTTGCGTGTACACACTTTTATTTACATTAATCATTTTTGTATAATCATATTATTATACATTATTTCTCAATTACGCTTCTAAATACAGAACGATATAAATCCGTTTTTCTTGGACTAATTTGTAAGATATCTTTATCTTCATGACACTGAAGCCGTGTAGTGACACGCGATGCCTTTCAAAGTTTGCGTTAATAGTAACAAAGGGGAATGTAATTCAATATTTTTATTGAAAATATAAGGAGAATTTAGAGCCTCGGGACTTCCAATAGGAAGAAAATTCCCATACAGTTGGTGTTTTTATATATTTTCTTAGTAAGTAAAAAATAGGCTTGAGGAATAAAAAGACCCCAGGAGGAAAACTTGAGTCTTAAAGATTTAAGAATCAAACGATTATGAAGCTTGAAATATTAACATGCCTGAATAGATTTACATTGTGGTAAAAGAGATTGTCATTTAGAAAAATCTTTGGACGTGTTTGCTTCATGAAAATAATTGATAAATTGTTTCAACCTGCGCTACAAATTTATGATCCCAAAAGGCGCCAGATGTTAATTGGAATATCACATGGAAAGCATGCGACGTTTATACACATGGATACACACGATCCATAAAGACACCTCGTGCATTTTCACGTAAGCGACACGAAGGCAGAACTGGCGCAGGACTAATTCCCAGAGACAAACACTTTAATTATAACCTTGCCACATATCTACGTGTCGTCATATTATCGTATTAAACGCGGTCGTTGCCGCGCCCTGCCATATTCCATTGCTTTTGCGTAGGACTGTATTGAGGTAGCTTTCTGGGAAAATTCATTTGCCAAAAACATCGAGTTCCGTGTAAAGTAACCCAGTGATAAAGGATCGATTCATCTTTCGGATTTTGAAGCTGTTTAAAGAGTCACGTTGACTGCTTTACTCGCGTTTTCATTTTCGAAAAAGAGAATATCATGCTATTTTTTTCCTCTCCCCCCGTTAAACACTAAACATGCTACTTTAGTCCCTTCGAATTCGATGGGACTCCGAAATTTGTAATCATGAATTCTTGATTTCATTTGTTTTGCAGATTTCGGAGTTTCCTTGTTTTACGAACTAATGATCTCTAACCAAACATTCTCCTCGAATCATTCTCCCGGATTCATTAAAACTTTGAGAATTAATTAAAAACAAAGTGTATGCGAATTAGTTAAAAACTATCACACATACACACGGCCGGCACACGTATGCGCGAACGTGCGCGCACACCCGCACACGTCTCTACATAATGTATATATTTATGTTTACATATTTACATACGCGTATACATAATATAAGGAGTACATTGCGCACATATGTCGCGAGCGCGTGCAATTTTCTTCTAATTATTTACTTTCTGTTGCTCCCATATACTGTTTCACGCGGACAGTGGTAACGCTATTGTTGCGGCGCGATACTGGATTGATGGAAATAATGGTGTAGGAGGAAAACAAAGAGAGCTCGGCCACGTCACTGTCGACCGCTATCAATTATTTTCAAATTACGAATTTCGCCAGCATATAGTACAATTGATTTATTCACGTCGTCGAGTACCGGCGCCATTTATTCGCGATGCACTATAGCGTCCATTTTATATGTTGTCATTTTTCTCGAGCTTTTCATTGAAAATCGACCGAGGCGTAAGATAAATAAATGAAGATTTTTTTCCCCCCCCAAATCCCCGGCTTTTCCATGAAAACGCGTCTCCCCGGCGCTACAAAGCGCGCATTTTTCGCACAAAGTTACTCACTTCCAATTTCACTTTTACCCTCGCCGTTCATAACTCGCGACAGATAGCTTTTCCGGATGTTTATTTGTAAGGGGATTTTTTCCCCCCTTGTTCTCCGATTTCCGCTCTCCTTTAATACGCAGTCACAGAGTTTTGCACGCGTATAAATATTTTAAGGTGGATAGACGCAGGAGGGAAGCTGATCCGCGCGATTATTGGTGTGTTGCAGCGTACAGCTTGCGAAGAAATCGAAATGGTAGAGCTGTGCGGCAGCGGCCAAGCTTCTTCGGCCATGGGCGTGATGGGCATCGGCTCGATGGTGACCGCGGCGACGTCGTCGTCCTCCTCGTCGACCACCACGACCACGGGCGCCTCGTCCTCGGCGTCGGGACGCGCCGGTATCCTCGAGACCCAAGTGCGCGGCCAGTGGTATCGCGTGTTCGTCTCCCTCGAAGACGATTATCTCAGCATTTCCCTCGACGAGAGCTGCGAGACCGGCAACAACGCCCTGAACAACGGCAACATCAACAACAACAACGTGGACAGCCTGAACGATCCGGACGTGCCCGACTCGGTGGCCAATCAGAAGCGCATTGTCCGCGTGGTGAAAAGTGACAACAATGGCCTGGGGATTTCGATTAAGGGCGGCAAGGAGAACAAAATGCCGATCCTCATCTCCAAGATCTTCAAGGGCATGGCGGCGGACGCTACCGAGCAGCTTTACGTCGGCGACGCGATTTTGGCGGTCAACGGCGAGGATCTGCGCGAGGCGACGCACGACGAGGCGGTGAAGGCGCTCAAGAGGGCCGGCAAGATCGTCGAGCTCGAAGGTAAGGCTTTGTTATTTCTATTCCTCGATAAGAGCGCCGGTGGAAATTGGCCGGGAAGCGTCTCGCGATCAATTCGGAATACGGCGTCGCAAGTCCATATTACCGTGGATAACGCGCAGTTTGCGTCATACAGCTATATTATACGGGAAACATGCGATATACCAATTTCACCCGTGACGCATTGTTCCTCGGCAACTTTGCGCGCAAGTTTCATGGATCCGTACCTCGGCGGAAGATAGATGTACACGAGCGACGCAAAACATTCCTGACATATGCGGCATTAAATTCCGCGTCTTTATTCGCACTCTATTTGTGCCGTTTGTCATCTCTCGTGTACTTAGGAAGGGGTTTGGAGAAAAACAAGTAAGGGAAGAATGCATTTGTAAGCGCCACCTAGGGCTTTTAGTTGGATTGGTGCGTCGGGGCTGCGTCGCCGTGCAGCCGACTTGAGGAAGAAGGTCGGCTATTTCCTTTTACACACTGGTAGATGACTGGCCCCCCGTGTGCCCTTTGCACCGGAAATCAAGAATCTGAAAATGCATCGGGAGAATGGCCGGTGGAAAAACGTATGTCTTCTGAATATGTAAACCCGGAAATGGGATGAGAATGCATTGCACATTGTTTCCAAGGTTTCCAGTTTTTGATAAAAGTAAAAAACACCCTCGACTTTAATTAGCCGATCGGCGCGTAAAACTTGGTCACCGCGAATCGGGATCCAATTTTCCCTTTAACCAAGTAAATTCTTGGAGCAAATAAATATGTAAATTTTGAGGAATCTCGATTGTCTCTTCCCCTAATTTTCGCGTCGTTGGGCCGATCGAACGATCGTTTTTTTTCCCCCCACTAATCCGCGATTTCCTCCGCACCCTCGCATTCCGCGTAAAACTGAAATACAAATGGGGTTTGAATGTGCGCGTGAGACTGTGGCGCTATTATACGCACACGCATCATTTGGAATCTCGCGCGGGCGCTTCCTCCCCGGCTCTTCCCTTTCATCGCGCACGTCATTACTTTACCGCCCTCGTCTGCGACTGTCATTTGTATCTAACCGGGTCCGACAATGAGATAGGAATATGCATTTTTCTGCACCTCGCATCCCCCACCCGATACGGCGCCTCGGGGGCCCCTTCCAACGTGGAGAAGGCTATCATATTTCGCCGTGCGATCGCGCGCCGTGCCGTATCGTTATTTTCTCGCGTCTCAAAAGCTAGAAAATGCCGGGCCGGTTGTTACCGGGCTATTTCAATCCGAAACCCTTCCCCCTCGTCCGCTCGCGCCGCGACCTACAGAGGGGCGCGACAAAAGGAGTTCCGTCTTGACGAATGGGGGTTGCCCGCGTACGTCCCGATCGAAAGAACCACTTACGGGGGCGCAGCAAATAATGAAGCGCCTTCAAACCGGTTGAATCTTGAGTTTCTTCCGTCAAGAGGCACTTTTCGCTTCAATTTTATGCGGAATGTCTAATGAGAAATACTTGAGTTATGGAACTACTTGTGTTGGGTGAAGCTCATTAAAAATTTCGCGCGCTACAAGTTTAATATTATGAATTAATTATCGAAGCAAAATGCCTAATTCTACGAATTCGCGAGAACTTTTGGCGATCCGGAAGTTAGGGGAAATTTCGACGAGGGAAATCATATATGATATATTGCAAAATAATCTTTCGCTACCTGTGAAGATCCTCGAAGAATTGCGCGTACATATTTTCGAGTCGCCTCGAGAACTGAGATACGAGAGGGAAAAATACGTACGTATAATGTGAGTTGGGCTAATCAAATTCTTATTCAAATCTTACTGAGACGAACTTTGACTCGTGGCGATCTGGAGGTTTGTAGAAAATTTCGACAGGGGAAATTTATATACCAAATATATCGCAAAGTGACCTTTGCAATCTGCGCGAATCGTTGGAAAATTGCGCGTACTTTTGCAATTGTGTCGTGAACTGAGAAGTGGAACGAAATTTCCACACATGTAATTATAAGTTTGATCTATTTAGAAAATCCTCATTAAAATCCTATTAAAATAAAACGGACTTTGACAGAGGATAGTAAAAATCCGTACAATTAAAATAACGTTCAAAGGAGCTAACGAACCAGATGCACGTGTTAAAAATATTTCTATTTATAAATGTAATACAAACGCTTCGACCTATAATCAGGTAATTTTCAGTGTATTATAGAATTTTTTAATATTAAACGTTACGTATAACAGTGCTTTTGCTATAAGAGTGATCTTTACATCGAAATTTAATGTCCAAATGACGAATAGCAGAAAGTTGAAATGACAGAATTCTGAAGGGTAATCCAGAAGTATGCAATTAATGTTCATAGATAATGTAATAACAGCGAGTGTAATGAAAATGGTCTCATTTGGCTGAGTACACATGGAAAGTATTTGCCCGCATTCTGAAAATTATGTAATCGTGGGACAGCACGGCATTTTGAGTAACTTTATGAGAGTATTTTGAAATTTCGCCATATATTTTGCTATAGTAAAATATACACCGAGCCTCGGTTTTTCATTCTCTGGCTAATTGTTAACCAGAGTCGACTCTCTGTCCATTGTCGGATAATAACAATAGAAAACGATGGAGAGTCGACTAACTGGTTAACCAGTTAACCAGTTAACCAGAAAATGAAAAACCAGGTCTAAGTATGTGGTAAAATTTCAAAAACTCATAGAATTCGTCGAAATATGTTGTTCCACGATCGCGTATTATAATTTTCAGGATAAATTCTAAGTGAAAATTCCCTCCGTGCATATTCACGTGTGGAGTTACGACGATCGAATATAGGAAATTAGATCGTGCGTGTACGCGAAATTCGCAGTTAGGCGCGAAAGTCATGGCGACGCTCTTGCGATACGATCTTCGTAAGGCACAATGCCCGAGTTCGCGTGACTTTTCCGCAATGGTTATCTGTTCGCCGCTCCATAATTTCCGTACTGGATCTAGGAAATTCTGTCTGTGAAATATCGCATGTCCTTGATTGGGGCGCATCGCGAACGAATTGCACAAGCGCGCGTGTACGTTATGCTTGCGTAATAGTCGCGCACGTATGAGGGAATTATCGCGCGGCGCGTTGCACGAGATAAAATAATGTGTCTTTTATGTATGAGTTACCGCAATAAATGCTTTTTTTTCCCCTAACGCGCGTTTTAATGCGGCGAGTAACGCGATCACGACCGGAAATGTCATGTCGCGCGGGAATCTATCGTTGGCACGTAATGTTTCCGTATTTACGAATTTTGTAAAAATTTGGATACAAGTTTCAACGTGGAAAATTCGACGCAATTTTTTACCGAGCGTAATTTGCGAAATACAATCGAAGTCAATCCTAATCTAATCGGATCTAATTTACCGCTGAATGTTGCAAGCAACTTGCTAAATAAAGTGTGCGCGGAGGAGATTAATCGGTGTGACGCTTAATGAAACTGAGAATATAAAATTTTTCTATGGAAATATACTTTCTAAGGCGACGTCTTTTAATATAAAAGTGGTAGCAAGTATTTATTGTGTTTGTTTTACGATTCCCTCGAAACCTATTCACGTTACGACTCTCTTCTATAAACCATGCATACGACATTTCACGTTATGGCGCACAGAGAAAGGATCAGCCACTAAAATAAGACGTCTCATTTTTCGCTGTACATACTGTATGTACGGTATCCTGCCATTTATTTAGCGTAAACTCTTCGATACAAGATGTCTGTGCAAAAGCAAAATGAGATTTGTCGAACGACTTGACGTTTCGCCAAGGATATTAATGTTACGTTGCTTTGCATTTCTTATTGTTCTCCATTGTTGAAAAAACTTCTCCCTCGTAATTGACATGACCTCATGAGTTTCCTAATCGCTGTACCAATATCGGAAAATACTGACCTAAACGAGTAATAGCGAGTCTGGTAAAAATTTCAGACGCAATGTGTCGGGTCTCTATATCTATAAGACAAAAGTGAAGAGGAGTGTCATCACTTTTTTTTTTCTTTTAAACGATAAAGTTTCCAAGTTTACCGAAACTAGATTTAACTGTCCTCGCGCATCACGACTCCTAAATGAGTGCGGGCTATATCGAGGCTCTCACTTTTGGAAATATCGATAGTTTGTTTAACCTATATAGTAATGTACATTTTAAAATGGGAAGCCCTTTTTAGATCCCAAGGCATTAAGCCCCAAGTCATACGCCAACCATTCTTTTATTAACAATGCGAGGCTCCTTCAACTGAGGAGTAAAGCGGTATACAGTGAACCTAAGAGCTGCTTCCGGTGACTTAGAGACGTGTTCAGTTCGTAAAAAAAATGTACACCGCCACGTGTACGATAATAATTTGTGATAGTAATTTGTAAAAACTGGGAAATTCTAATAGCAACGTGATGTTGATTAACAAGATACATCTAATTACTTGTTGCTAGGAACTAATTAGCAGTGCACATAGAGATAGAGGCACATTAGAGAGCGCTCGTTTTACAAGCCTGAGCTAATAATTAGCTCGCCTCCTCGTCATTAATTGCACGGCATACAAACGGCGATCTCGCGCAACAATGGGCCGCAGTCGATTGTAGTTGTCGAAAAAGTGATTATGGAATGATTATGTAATGCGTAATGACAGTACGCTCGCAATTGTTTATAACTTTGATAAAGCGCTCGCAGAAAGTTTGCGCGTGCGTATGCGCGTGAACGAACACACCGCGGCGGCGTATCGAAGCCTCAATACAAATCAATGTCCACGTGATTTATGTGGAATAGAATTTGTAGGATTTCAGTTTATGATTTTTACAACGGAACGTATTAATAACCGTGCGATAGGATTTATGGTTTATATCAGTGTAAAAACACACGAGGCTAATTTGAGCGAGAACGTTGATGCCAGATAAATAATTCTTTTATTTGCACAATTAAATCACCGGAACGTTTCGATCATACATTTTAGTCATTTTCGGCCGTGTAATTAATCTTTCATATTAATTGCGCCGACAAATTGCAATTGTACAAGCGAGTAAG